CAATTTTTTTTCAGTACAGTATGTTTAAACTAGGCAAAATTTTTATTTTGATATTTTTTTTGGGAATAATTTATTTTTTTCATCCAAGCTGGAGCAGCAGGTTTTGTAATTTTGATAACAATTTAGAGAAGCATTATTCAGGGTTACATAACAAAAAAAAATTTGGAAAAAGTGAAGATTTGTCACGAGTAAAAGGACCGTCACCTGGAGTAGAATTTTTTGATTTTTTTTAAATGCCTATTATTTTTAAAATATGACACATAGATTTTTTTTTATATTTTTCTGATAACCAGCACAACTTGCCTCAACACCCAGTTCCGGCTTGACGTTACATTACGGGACACCCTGTATATAGTAATCAGGGTCTAATGATGGAGCTGGAAGGTAATTCGCAATAAAACGACACAATCGCATCAAGTTTGGGTTTGGTTCAATTTTAATTTCTGTGGGGGGTCTTGGTGTTAATATGTATAATAAGTTTGTATTTACAAAAAAAAAAATGTATTTAAGTATGTTTATATCCGTTTTCTAGTGAGCGGACACTGTGAATGTACGTCACGCGGGGTCACGTGACCGTCGACGGGACTCAATAGTTAAGCGAACTTTGAATGCCTATAAAATCATAACTATTGGGTATTTTTGAATGAAATAAAAACTAATGTATTTATAAATGTAAAAGCTTAACTGTAACATAGGTTTCAAGTGATTTTGCATACCTAGTAACATTCTCAATTATCAGGTACTTTAGTTCCATAGGAATTAAAGCTCTATACCCCTTATAATAGTGACACATTCCCATCACCAGGCCTTCGGCACAGCAGCCGAAGCCCTAGAGCACTTCCTATCCCGGGGCATCATCAACTGGGGCACGCCCGTGTCGTCGCTGCTTGAAGACGGCCAGCTGTATATCCAGCAGGCCAGGGCTACTGAAGCTAGCGGTAAGTTTGTTAATCCATCAACTGCCGAACTCTCATCCAACTTATGATTTTTATGTAATGTATTATTATGTAAGGACATCCTTAGCGTCGATGGCATCATTTTTCTTCCATTTGTGAAAACTTTAGGGGTTTGCAATGTAATAATAACTTCGCGTTAAAATGGCCCAAAAACAATCCCAATCTAATATTATTCCCCGCGGCGCCCTAACCTTTGAAAAAGACACAGTCGAAAGACGGGCGGGTAAAAATGTAGGAGGGGTAAGGTTCAACGGAGTTCAAGCGCCAACGCGATGAAAGGATTGACTCACGGCGCCCATCTTTATGCCAATTCATAGGCCTTAACATAAGCCGATCTGCACGCGTTGGTTTGGCTTTACTTTCTACGGCGCACACTTTGGGCACCCCTGCCCTGAAGGGTTGAATTTCGAAACCATTCCTCGTCTACTTATGTTCTTCAATACCTATACAATATCAATTAGCCACACTAAGATTATACGCCTCTTCCTAGTGATGTGCATCATGTGCCAAAATTTCACGAGTTATTGACAGAAGTTTTTTCTCACGCAGGCCTAGTCTCAGTACTCCTGGAAGGACCTCCCAACAGCGGCAAGACGGCTCTCGCTGCAGAACTAGCCAAGCTATCAGACTTCCCCTTCGTGAAGGTGTGCTCGCCTGAAGACATGGTCGGCTTCACCGAGACCGCCAAGTGCTTGCAGATCAGGAAGGTAAGATAATGATAGCATATCAAACTAGACATTGCGGCATCTTGTGGCTTTCCATCAAAAAAGTCTGTTGTGAGTGATGTTGATAAATTCTTCATTATTTTTTCGGAACTTTCACTAATTTATTCTGTTTATTTTCATCAAGTGAATATTCTTTTCCATAACTTGTAACTACATTCACCATTAACAGCATATTTGGTCCCCGCAGTAGGAACATGACCCTCGTATTTACTTGACTCAAATGGAGCCTGCAGATGGCCGCTGGCCAGGGCTGAGGCAGCTTAATGTTCTCATATTTGTCCTAATCGCCACTAGTGGCTCCTTTGACTCAAGAAAAGAGGGTAAATCCGTAAGAGGCGTCTTACGACATCCACGAAAAAAGTGCGGTCTTATTCTATTCTGCCAGAACCAAACGGCTTGCGAGGTAATAATCTAAGTTAAAGCTATTTTTTTTATCTACAGTACTTCGATGACGCCTACCGCTCCACTTTATCCTGTATTCTCGTGGACAACATCGAGCGACTGCTAGACTACGGGCCTATCGGGCCGCGGTACTCTAACCTGACGCTGCAAGCGCTACTGGTGTTGCTGAAGAAGCAGCCGCCAAAAGGACGGAAGCTGCTCATCCTATGCACTAGCAGCCGCAGGTATGTTGGAGAAATTACCAGTTACATCATTTAGATTGGATAATATTTTGGCTCTTATGACAGGTAACCCGTTGTCTTTACCTTTTGGGCCCTATTAGAGCGCTTAGAAGTAATGCCCCACAGACAAGTGTAGGAGCAATATACGTATATCCCATACATGAGTGTAGTAGTACGAGATCTCACATTAGTGTCTTTCGAGCGTCGTCTTCTTGCCAGCGCCGGCGCAGCGTTACCGACGCGGCGTTACGAAGCACTAGGCTTTTTTGGAACAGTAACGCAAACCTCTCAACTTCGCTTTGGTCATCGTAGAATTGCGTTAACGCTGCGCAGGCGACGACATTCAAAAGTGGGGAAGTCCTTTAATTAAATTTGAGCGTCGCTGCGCGGCGCGTCACAAAATTTCAACGAAATGTTTTGGCACGAAAGTACTTTCTTGTTGCGCCATCTGTATGTTTATTGTTATATGTATTTTTTGCGAGTCCTTTGTGAGTACAACAAATGTTTTTCTATTCTGTTAACAACAGACAAGTGCTAGAAGACATGGAGGTGCTATCAGCGTTTACTGGCGTGCTGCACGTGCCCAACCTGTCCACTCCCGAGCACGTCATCACGGTGCTGGAGCAAAGCGACGCCTTCTCGCGCCGCGACCTCGCCAAGATACAGCACGACATGCGCGGAGCCAAGTGAGTAAAGTTTAATCAGCATTACTAAAGACCGGTCCGTGAGCACGTAGAATTTTGTCCAATGACCCCTAGCTACCCATCCTTCTTTTTCTTAAAGGTTTTAAACCTTTGTTTGTCACCTGTCATCCGCTTTGCAATGGAGGGAAGTCGAACCTTAATTTCGAACTCCTCCTATGTTCTTCTGATTAATTTCGTTGCGGGTCCAATGACAGTTTAACTTTCCCCCGGGACAAACTTGACCTTCATTGGTTGGGTTTTTGTGGCGGTCAAACTGTAGATCCTGGCTACACAGGAGTTGCAGTGGTGGGAACGAGAGGTGGGAATAGTCCCGTTTTTTAGCTACCCATCCTTTTCGCTCGCGCGTAATTATATCGCGACTGTGCGACTGGCACCCGCAGTGAGTGTGCGAGCGCTATAGCAACATAATTACGCGCGAGCGATAAGGATGAGTAGCTTGGGGTCATTGGACATAATTCTACGTGCTCACGGACCAGGCTTTAGCTGTGCCCGCGACTTCGTACGCGTCAAAACCCGTTTCGCAACATTTTTCATTTTTGCTCTGCACTTATTACTCGTAGCGTGATGGTATATAGCTAGAGATGGGTTTGTAGTCAGCTAGTTTGGATAATAACTGATTTTATTATCTATTAATAGCCATTATTAGCCATCCATTGGCTAGTAACCCTGCTATTAATAGTTTCTTACGTTTTTTCTTCCACCTTTAAAATCAAATCAATATTAAAATCAAATATTACTCAAAGAAACAAAAAAGAACTAAAATATTAAAAAACATCAATGTAATTTATATAAACGGCATTGTAGTTAAAAAAGAATCTAAATATATAAAAGGAGAAACTGACTGACTTAGTGACAGATCAACGCACAGCCTAAACGGCTAAACGTAGACACTTGAAATGGCAATGCCAGATTTTGTATGGCTGCCGTCTATAAGCTAAAAGGCCGCTAAATGACAAAATCTAATTTTGAGCTAGAGCAGAAAAAAGCGGCAAAATTTTCAAACCGATGCTGCTCAGTATCTATAAACATTTTGTCATGTTGTCATATACCAAAAAAAAGGTATTTTTTTCAACTTTCACATGAAGTAAGTTGATTTTGTAAAATATTAATAATTAATTCAATAAACGTACATTTTCCTTTCTAACCTTGTAGAATTTTAAGGCTTGCTTCAAGTGTGCAGAACTAAATGGCGGCTAAAGAATCATAACTGCTTTTAAGTTATGGATTTATTAATAACTGCCAGAAAAGACAGGAAGTTATTAACATATCCATAACAAAAAAGCGGCTAATTACACATAGCCGCCTTCATCCTTCACCGTTTATTACACAGACTCACTGTTTATCTACACAGTAACAGCATAGCGTTTTCCTGAAATCATAGTTTAAGAAAACCACAAAGGTATTATTATACCTACGTACCGTATCCTAATAGGACAAACTGCACACTTCACTCTTGGGTTATAAGCCATGCGTTAGACTTCCATAATGGCGGTAGAATAGGTACGTCGGTACGCTACCCTACCTAGTGGAAGTTTTCATACTTTCCCCGGATGCATATTGATAAAGGTAGTTTACCGTTTATTTATTTTGTTGATTTATAAATCAACACAATCCGTCCGATGGAATTCGTATGTCTGAAATGGTATTGGTAAGTTGGTACTTACAGCTTATTGTAGCAAGCAATCACATCTTGCGACTATCACATTACACCACACCATCCTTTGATTTGACCTCTACGCCAACTCTTGCTCCTCTTCTGCACGTGGACATAATATTTCCTCTTTCCTTTTGAAAATAAAGACATCTAACGGAAAACCCTTAGGAACAAACACAGCTAAAAAGGAGTGTTATACCGTTAGGAATGAACATTGCTAAAAAGGAATATTAGTTTTAAAACACATCTAACGAAAACCGTTAGGCACAAACATTGCTAAAAAGGAATGTTAGTTTTAAAACACATCTAACGGAACACGCCGTCAGGTACGAACATTGCTAAGAAGAAAAGTTAGCTTAAAAACATATCTAACGAAAAACCGTTAGAAACAAACATTGCTAAAAAGTAATGTTACTTTTAAAACACGTCTAACGGAATACCGTTAGGTACAAGTATTACTAGAGATTCTTCTCTAAAGATAATTATTTAAAATTACACTGAGTTAGATTGAATGCAATCTACCCCCGAACGGTAACACCGTTGTAAAAATAAATTACACTGCGAAATAAGTAATCACAGTAATTTTTATAAGTTTTCAGCCAGTACATAATAATTTAGAAGTACTTACATTATGATGGTAATATTTTACCTGAATCACGTCACGACTAGTACCTGTGAGATGGGTCGCGAACTAGCGGAGCTAATTCTACGACCGTCTCGAACGGGAACTAAAACACCAATGGCGAGAATATCGAAACCTAGTTTCGAGCTACCGTTGGTGGCGCTAGTGTCGTTAATTGAGGCGTGCTTAGGCGGTGGGGGACCGGAGCGGAAGTCACGTGGGCAGATTATACGTCAAAACTAGTACTCAAACAGGAAAAGACAGACACTACTCTCATTATAAAGGCTTCGAATAACGGTACAGTACTGTTTAATAGTGGGTAACAGTACAGTGACAATAATAATTAAATTCCAAACAGTTCGTCAATTTTATAGAACGCCTGCTCGATCAACCACTTTTTTAATTGAAATTTGAAAGAATGGAGTGATACCGCTTCTTTCACTATTTTAAGCAATCGGTTGTATACTTTAGGCCCCAATACGTGCGTCAAAGAGTCAGACTTTCGTAGTCTACCTGCAGTCGATACCAGTGCTTCGGCGAAGCGAGTGTTATAGTTGTGACGATCACTATGTCTCACAAATGAGTCCAGGTTCTCGCGTAGCGTGATGGTATATAGCCTATAGCCTTCCTCGATAAATGGGCTTTCTAACACTGAAAGAATTTTTCAAATCGGACCAGTAGTTCCCGAGATTAGCGCGTTCAAGTAAACAAACAAACAAACTCTTTAGCTTTATAATATTAGTATAGATTTCACAGGACGTCCACTGCTGAACATAGGCCGCCACCATAGATTTCCTTCCAGATTGGCCGATCGGAAGCAGCCTACATCCAGCGCGCAGCGCCTTCATATAACTTTTATAAGGTCATCTCTCCATCTTGTGGGACGTCTCACGTTGTTTACTTTTGCAACTTACTTTACATAACGATAGAATAAAAAAATCTCCGTTGACATTAACAAAATACTCTGCCATGCGATTTGCACACTTTTACTTTTATTATTACTTGCTCAATTTATTATTTTTATTTATTTCTAGGATTTTCATCGGCATCAAAAAACTTCTCGCCCTCATCGACATGGTGAAGCAAACGGACGAGGAGTCTCGAGTATTCAAGTTCCTCACCAAAATGCAGGAGGAGGGCTGCCTCGACGTGGGCACCACTATACAATAAGGATCATTGCAACCTTAGGGATTACACGCGCATACCACTCTCTCGCCCTCACCCGACCCGCACCAGCGCCGCGCCACAGAAAGCTCGCCCTGCGCCTCCGATCTACGCAGCTTCGAAATAGACTACGATGACGTCAGCGAGTGCACGGAATCTCTCCCAGACACCAGCCACAAAAGAGGCCTCACCGCCCGCGGCAACGAAATATCACCCGCCAAAATGCCCCTCATGAGAATCCGCAGCGTCGAAATAGTCTTCGAGGACGAAATGTCCGCTTGCACCGACACCGCTCTACTGGACCGCAGCATCGAACTCATAGTCTCCGATAGCGATGACTCCACCAAATGCGTCGACGATTTGGAACACGCGAACGAAGGCAACGAGGACACAGCCACGCTTAACGCCGAAGGTGACTTGTCAGATGATAATTCTGTGTCGAAAGACAATAGCGGGGAGGTGGCCGAAACGAAAACCTCCCACGCGGATGACAGCACCAAAGTCCACGACGAAAGCGTGACCATAGACGACATATCGCTAAACGTGTCAGAGGTCGTCGACTCCGGTCGCTTTACGGAAGACGCGAGCTCGTCACACTTGGAAACGGTGCCGATTTTAGCTTACGAGGACGCTTTGCTCTCGCACTCCTTCGACGCAATTACAGTAGACACTGCTATGACAACGTATGAGATATCGGATGACAGCTTCAGCAAACGTTCGGCACCAGAGGCAAGACTGTATGAGTACATCGACAGCGATTCTGATAGCTCGGAGGACACGGCCGTATGCGACGCCGACGCAGCGATACAACACTTGACATCCTTCCACGACACCATGACACCCGACGAACATACCTTGTGTGACAGTTCCGACTTGCAGTATGACTCTTTTATAGATATGGGCAAATTCTGAACATTTAATTGTTCATTTTAATCTTTACGCAATAATCTATTATATTATGCTTCTATGTTTAACATGTATACGTAACTTTATGAATGTTTCCGCAAATTGTGTGATATTCGGTTAAATGATTAGGTGTGTTATGTTTCCGACCGTTTGAAGCGGATTCCTTATATTTTGGGGCTTGATTGTTTCGGTTCCGTGCCAGCTATCCCGACACCTGTATTCTTTCTTAACACGGCTTATTCACAGAGGGGGCTTGGTGGTATGCGGCTCTCGTAACCATGTCATGTCCCTTTGTGACCTGATATCCTTGTTAGCGAAATTTCTAAAACTTTTTGTAAATAATGAGATAGTTACGCTATTTTCTATAGACAATAGAACTTTAGTATGCGTTGGCATGAACTATGACATGGTTACAGAAATCCCAGGGTTGTAAGACTAGGCGATAGCTCAATTCTTTATGATGTATTATATTTTTTATAGAGTTATTTTTTATTTATTAATAATTTGTTACTAAAGATATGTGATGCAGCTTGATGCTGTTAATTATGTTAAATACTTAAAAATAGAAATATTTTGATCATTGTGTAATAATGTACTAATATTAAGCAATTGTTGTCAATATACTAAATAGTATTTAAACTTTTGAAATATTGTTGTTATAGAGGTAGAAGAACGAAGCTTTTATTGTGACTTGACGCATTACAATTATTAGCCTTGAGTACAAGTTAAAAGTGATTAATAACGTTTTAAGCTTTAGGTAATTGTGGTACTGCACGTCTCGTTAGTCACAGTCAATTAATTGAGCACCAGAACTTGGATAATGCATTTCTAATTAAGAAATGAAGTAAAATATAATACATAGTTAAATTTTGAAAAATGAAATCAGTAAATATGTACTTTCTAGTGACTGTAAAGCCAGTGTCATGATGACGAATGTTTATGATCTTTATTTACTAATTATTTGTTACGTTTATACATATGATGTTTTAGTATAACATTCCATTTTACATTCATTCGCCAAATTCGACTAAAGATACATGTCACTAGCAACGATATTAAATTAGACATATTATTCTGACGAAAAGTCTTGAAATAGACAAGTAGTGCTTGCGTGTTAAATACTAAAATATAATATTTTGTCTGTTGAGTATAAGAAATGAATTTGTGGAATTATGATGTATTGGAATTGTATTTGGAGTGACTGGACGGCATGCATAGCCATTAGTTGAGTTTTTATAATGCAATATAATACGCTTAGCACTTGACACTAACAAAATCAATGTTCACATTAAGTATTATTGTTATTATATCAATTTGATAGAATTAATGACATTATTATCACTGACTGCATGTTATTAAAGTCTCCACTAATGTCTATGTGAATTGTGTGTGGTGTAGGCCAGAAGATTTGTTGGAAAATAAAGTGATATATCAGCATTTTATGTTTATTTTTATTTCTAACATTAAGATTTTTATCTTATTGTCATCCAGTAAATCCACTAATGGGCACAAAGACCATGACTACAAACCCTTGTTCAGACTTTCGGTCAATTCGATATTAATAGGCTGGTGATAAACTATCTACAAGTAATAGCTCACTTCATCTATAAAAAGAGATCACTACTTCCTACTACACAGCTTGTGGGTAAAAAATATTGAACTAAGCCCTATAAATGATTGAAGGAAGTAGGTATGTGACTTAAATAATATAGGGTGAAAATTAAATAATTATGTTAGACATCACTAAACTTACACATAGTTTCATAGTTGTATGTTATTACTGATTGACATATCCATAGGTTTCAACTTCAACCTGATAATGAATAGTCTTTACACACTAAACAGGTNATTTTCTCGAAAGCTGTTGAAGATAGACCACGGGTTTCTTTTAAGAATTTACTTAGATTTACTTGTTAAATCATGTCATCTATTCACCAAAAAATGTCCGCTTCCAAGTGATTTTAAAAGACTGTGCCTTGTTCAGACTTTCGGTCAATTCGATATTGATAGGCTGGCGATAAACTATCTACAAGTAATAGCTCACTTCATCTATAAAAAGAGAGCACTACTTGCTACTATAGAGCAGCGGTTCCCGAATGGTGGTCCGCGGAACCCTGGGGTTCCGTGGAAAGGTCGCAAGGGTTCCGTAAAAAATATTATCCAACGTTTCGTGACCGACGTTGTTCGCTCGCACCGACTTGTTTACGCACAAGGGAGGGGCAGGGCGTGCGGGCGGAGTAGTACGGGGGTTCCGCTAGGAAAAGTATAATCAATTAGGGTTTCTTGGCAAAAAAAAATTGGGAAACCCTGCAATAGAGCACTGCTTGTGTAGGTATGTGACTTAAATAATATAGGGTGAAAATTAAATAATTATGTTAGACATCACTAAACTTATAGTTGTATGTAGAGATGTGCCGCTGAGAAAGTTCTCGTTCCCGGCAATATTCCCAGTGAGAATATTCTCGAGAACCGAGAACGCTCCCGGGAATATTCTCAGTGTTCTCGACAGAATGCATTTAGTTTTAATTTTAATTTTGTTGTTCATATGTGATATTATCTGTAATGTTTCGATGTTTTATTAACTGGGCGTTAAGAATAGTCGTTATAAACAAAGCATGAAACGTGTGAGTGAGATATTGCTGTCTTGCTCACTCTTTTCGTGGCGAACGCGTACCGCGGCTTTAGGACTCGGCTACGGTATTTGAACATCAGTGTGCCTCTAAGTTTTAAGGCCCTTGCCACCCTGGCGGATTGCAAGCGGATTCAAAGTGGATTTAAAGCGGAGTGGCGACGCGACGGAGAAGCCGCGTGAAAATATCGTAAAGCTTCCCAAAGGCTGCCCAGCCGAACTGGATTCGATGATTGACTTTTTTTTTCGAAGTTGGACCTACCTAACTGGACTGTTTGTCCCAGGTATACATTATTGTCAACAACCTCGAGTGTAGAGTCTTCAACTTATAGAGGAGTGGGTGCAACACGGTCTTTAGACATGATTTTTAAATCTTGTTCATTTTGAGACCCACTTGTTGAGAGACTGTTGAGGCCATCGAGCATTGTGCCTAGATCTTCCACGATCTCAGCCATGACTACGATATCGTCTGATGTCTGGGTGATGTACTCGCCGTTGATATTTATGCTGAATCTGCTCCAGCCCAGAAGCTTGAAAACATCTTCCAGGGTGGTGGTGGTGACGTCTCCCTGTCTCACCCCTCCCTCGCTGCAACTGGATAGGTTTCGGGTCCTGATCTTAAAACGGACTGTCACTGTGGCGTGTTTGTACAAGCGTCTTCAACAAGCCTTTCAACTCTTTAATTAATGTATCAATAGTCAATTTGGCACAGTTGAAGAGACTGAATGGGCAGTGCCCATGTTTCAAACGAATTGAAGGCTTTCTCATAGTTCACAAACGTTTATTTATTATTTATTTTATTTTATCTTCCGTATAATCTGCCGTTGCGTATATTATTATGGTATATGGTAGTTAGTACTAAAGCCTTTTCGGAAACTGGCTTGTTCAGGGGGCTGAAAGTTGTCGAGCCTGCTAGCGTGACAATTCGTAATGACTATCGAAAACAGCTTGTAGACATGGCTCAGAAGCGAAATGGGTCTATAATTCTTCTACAAGGTTTTGTCACCTTTTATGAAGAGGAGTATTACCATTCTTCTAAGTATCAAATCAATCTAGCTAGCACTTATTTTCTATAAAAATGTGTCAAATGATCCGTCAGACAGGCTATCCGCAACTTATCCAGAAGTGGCAAAACAGGCCCTTACTAAGCGATTGTGAAATATGCCCTTAATGTCAAATAAGAATAGTTTAAAAAACTAATAACACGCTTTTAATTACTAACAGCACTAAAAAGCCAAAAATCATCAGGACCCTGGACATCATCTAGCATTAAAGTGCTCGAAAAGACAAATCCAACGAACCCAAACTCGATGAGTTTCCGCCGTTTCGTTTAGGAGTTCCTATGGCTACCTCCTGACTCCATCATTAGGACCCTGAACATTATCTAGTACTTAAAGATCTCGAAAAGACATCCAATGAACCCAAACTCGATGTGATTCCGCCGTTTCGTTTAGGAGTTCTTTTGGCCACCTTCCAGTCCCATCATCAGACCAGCTGGTACCACAATATTGTATTGTCATTTCTAATCTACATATAATTGTCAAGTTTCATGATGATACAATACTTAGAAGTGCGTGTAATTCAGATTCTAAGATTCCATTACATAGTTAGTTACATACACGACGACCTAATAAGAGCGTGTTAAAAACGAAAAAATGGACAGTTACATTATTTAATTACGTGTAAAAAGAAATTTCTGTCATCTTACATATCATTAAAACGACATTTCACGACGAAAAAAATAAAAAATAATAAAGGTGCAGTTGCCAAGAATATTGCCGAGAAAGTTCCCGAGAATATTCTCGGGAACACTGAGAATATAGCCTTTCACTGCAAATAGAGTGTATTGTTTAATATACACTTATCTATTGACTTAATTTAATACTATTTTACTTAAGAAAGTTTGTTTATTTCCATTAGATAAACATGATTCTCAACCTTTCTCACTTAGGAGAACGCTCCCGAGAATATTCTCAGTTGAGAGAGCGTTCTCGGGAATGGCACATCAATAGTTGTATGTTATTACTGATTGACATATCCATAGGTTTCAACTTCAACCTGATAATGAATAGTCTTTACACACTAAACAGGTAGTAGCTAGGTAGGCATGCTTTGTTTGAAGTCTGTAGTTACCTTAACCAATAGTGTAATTTTGCGAATTTCTTATTCATTACTGTGCAATGTTAGTGTTAAATATCAGCACAATACTTTAAGATGGTGTTAATATGGGTATAACACTGGTTAGAAGTAGAAACAGTAAACACAAACAAAAATATGTTTTATCACATTTATATTTTTACAATAATTAAAAAAAAACAGTTTTCAGTTTTCACAGTTTGAATATTGTATAATAGAACTTAAATAGTAATATTTAAAACCTAGTTAGCGCTTTCACAAGCATCAACCCAGTCATTATAAACATCTATAGGTTCAGACAAAACATTTGTTGTTGTTTGGAAGTCCTCTAAACACACCCGACATTGTATTCTAGCTGTATTTCTGGCACGATCCCTGAAATTAACGAAATCAAGTTTGACATATGAACAACAATCACAAGTTGTGCTAACACCAATGGCTAACACAGATGATGTTTAATTTCCAATAGTTGTACATACATTTTCACCTCACAGGACTTCTCGTGATTGCAGAAGGGGCAATTGAATTGCTGATCCAAGGGTTCAATTGCTTTACGTTTTGGAGGAGGCTTTCTTTTAGATTTGCGGCGTCCCATGCTGTTCTGAAATTTCACACAGAATAAATGTGTTGTTACTCCTAAATCGTTCTTGAATATGTTTATTGTTTAATATGTATTACAGTTACAAGTAAAAACTTCGGTGTACGCTAAGATTCCTTACTTTATTTAATTAATCGTGAAGGTAAATTATTTTAGAGATTCTCGTACGATCGCCGTTGTTTTTTGTTGTTGTCAAATTTGACATTTAAAAGATTGACATTGGTTTTTTTAAGAAAAATTACGGCATGGAGTTTTGTTTTATTAAAATCGAATTTTTATAATCGGGAAGTTTGCCAAAGCCGTCATAAAAAAGTATAATCGGAATAGACTAATCGGTAAAATATCGACAGACAATCATTTCAATCATTCACTCACATTGAGTTGATGAGTGAGTGAGTCAGGTCAGTCAACTGTCAAACAAAATACAAACTGAGCGAGGCCGAGGAGTAGTTTTTGGAAAGAAATATTAATGTTTTCATGAATTAATTTGTTAATAGCAAGAACAATGGATTTTAATATAAGGCATCTATTTTTAATACTTTTTATTTACAAAGAAGGTAACCTGAATTTTGTCTAAAACTTTATTACCGTGTTTGATGAAGTGGTAACGCCCAAAAGCACGACTCATTACAATAATTTTTAACGTTTTTCCAGTGTCCTATGTTTCTACTGAATGTACAATACCAATTGTATTACGGAATACATGGTTCTCGTTTGAAAATGGGAGGCAAACTATTACAGATATAAATGCAAGTGATATGACTGCAAGGTTTGTATCTCTTTGTGGCGGTTTGCATTGCGTGACGGATCCCGGCTTATAAAAACTTTTATCTACATTTTTTAAAATTAATTTACAGAGGTGTATGTGTGAACATAAAGGCAGACTACCATGTGAACTATACTATGGTATTTCGTTACACAAACTGCTATTACTGTGTGAAGCTTATTGTCAGAACAGTAAATGTATTGGAGAAAATCGAGACGCCATGTGTGGGCATAGGATCAGATGAAGAGCCTTCTGTTGAAAGAGTTTGCAAAGGTCTCAACCCGGACCAACAACTAATTACGTTGTTTTCAGAAAACTATGTACCGGTAGGTTTGAATTCCACCTATTTATATTCTGTTCAGAAAGAAATTATGTAAAATACAGACTGCCATAACAAACAATCAAAACTGCTAATCAGTTTGCAGTTTCAATATTGTTTGTTGCGGCAGTCAAATAATCATTGCATTACCTACATACTGAGTAGTGACTTAAGTTTTTTGCACTGCTCTTCTCTGCACTAGTCCACATTATTCTCCTATAGCAGTGGTAGGACTTAAATGAGACAAAGTGCTTTTTAAGTCTTATTGGAAAAAATAATTACTTTTTACGTTTTGTGTTTCACTGTATTATTGGATTGTGAAAGAAAGAAAAAAATGTTTTATTTATTTATTTATGTTACAGGTCAATTGCCGTTCATCTTTAGAAGGTGTGTGGCAATTTGCATACCAAAATCGTTTTCGGTTTACTGGTGAATGCAACAATCCCGATGCCCAGATCAGGTCTTGTCAAACAGCAGGCACACAGTTCTTGATCACAAATCAGAAATTTAACATTACATACAAAAGCTGTCCAGGGATGTCTGGTACTTTTGACGGTGTGGTGGAGTACAGTTGCCTAGGTAAATATTTATTAGTAGGATTTCTTAAATTATAGTTGCTTCTTATGTATATTACTAAGCCATACTGCTTGCTCTATTATTAAGATATGATTTTAATTTGTTTATGGTCCTTTTTAGGTCACTGGTTTGTGGATAAAAATCACTTCTTCGCTGTTGCAAATACAAAGGAGTCACGTAAAGATGAAAAGTACCGTTGCTTCCTCAAGAACAGAGATGACGATCTTTACATTGGCGCTTCTATCACACCACAGTGTAATACCCTAAAGACCGTCGAAAAATCTCCTGAAAGATATAGAGTGACACCAGTCAAGGTAACATAAGCTAATTTACATCGTAATTATTACAATTTTAAATAAATACCATCTAAAAATAAGTAACTGGGAAGTAATAAGAATGTTTATTTATCAGGCTGAAGTCGTGGAACCAGGATGTCACCTGCCCCAAAACTTCTCTGGTGAATGGATAAACACAGCTAATATTGATGCTGATGTCTTTATCAACGAAACTCATATCATTGAGACTTATTATCCTGATGAAAGTAGATACCGGAAGATTATTTATGTGTGCAGGTAATAACTTACTACATTTAATCAGGGTTTACAACTGTACAATGTCTGTGTGATGTAGAATAAGTTTTATAAACATGTTTTAAATCAAAAACATTTTATTTCAGGGAACAGAGAGATAACAGGGTGATGATGGCGCGTCTGACAGTTGATGGATGCCAAAAAGATTATATCTGCTTTGAATTTGTCCCACAACATCATAATGTTATTAGGTAAAACATTTTGACCTTTTGTAAACTTGAATGTTGTCTTTTAATAATTGAAAATGATTCTCATCAAAATATGTTTCTAATTTGACATTAATTTTGCAGATTCCGTAAAGGTCTTGCCATGATACAAAGTGATTTCCACACTGTGTGCTCATGGGTACAGTTTCCCAACAAACAAAAATGGCGTTACGATATATTCCTCAAGAAAGACCCCTCACCGATTCGCTGTCCTGTTGCTGGAAAATTCAACTTCACACAAAAAGGAGATGTACGATTTGAGACAAGAATTCTAGGAGGAGTCACTCTCAGTCCTCGGCCAAATCTGTACTGTAAACTTAATATAAGTGACTTCTCTGTCTGTGATACTGATCAAAAAACAATTGATATTAAGGAGAACTACTGTCTGACTGTTGACTACTTGGGAAGACCAGTTGATATCTATAGTGATCCCGATTATCGCATGAAATGTATAGGTTACTGGAAGGAAAATTTGAAGTCCTACCTTATTACTTACGATGAACTGGATCCTTACTCTAAATACAGATGTTGGGTGTACCAGAGAGCGGATTTGAACAGGTAAATACACGTCATGAACATACATAATCGTTTTTTATTTGTAATAAATATTAAATTCTATGGCTCACATATTATATTATGTTTTTCAGAGTGCTCATGTCTCAAGCTCTCGGTCCGTATTGTGACATCAACCAAGATGTGACCTCTTGGAACTACACAGAAGGTGCAGCTGTCGCCATTGAAATGGAAGAATACGAGCGTGAACGAGACCAGTGTCCCATGCACTTCGATGACGGAAGCAACCCCTGGATGACAAAGGAGAACTACATTAAGGTCTTTACTTTCGAATACTCCTTCTGGCGAAGCAACACCGCTGCAGGTCTTAGTACTGGCATCGCGATGATTCTTACTAGTGTATTAGCTTTAATACTGTAACCTAAAAATGGTTTGTTGTAGACTGATGTACAGTTAGCCGTCCAGTAAAATCCACTCAATATCAGGTGTGTTTTTTGTAGACTGATGTACAGTTAGCCGTCCAGTAAAATCCACTTAATATTAGGTGTAATTATATTCTCTACGAACTTAAATTCTTTTACGAACAGATATAAAAGATAGCAAAATAGTGACTTATTCCCGTAGACATAAAAATAGGTAGGATAATATGTAAAATTGATCTGATAATGTTGTGCCTTATAAATCAATGTTAGTGCTTATTATGTATGTTAATTAACTTTTAATGACAATATTTTATGTATTTTTTATTTACATGACAATGATTTTGAGTAATTTCGAGTTTGCTGAGGAAGTGAAATATACAAGCTATTTTATTTACAAAAAATTCTACAGATTAATCTTAAGTTTATAATGTGTTGTAAACAAATAAGTAGTGTTGCTATTTTACATTATGTAGTTTGTGTGCACTGACACATTTTTGCATGAAATGTCCTTATCATCTGATTGCATCCTGGAAAAGGATATTTCAGTATTCCCTATATTCACATTAGAGACTGAGTCGGTAGCTAGAGCTTATCTACGATTATGTTTGCAAAACTTTGGACTTTCCAATGTATAGTCACAGAATAATGGTACAGTGCAATAGATGGATTCTGTCACTTCTGGATCTGTTGGTCAAGGCCAAGGAATAATATAATTGTATTGGTTATTCATTAATATGTTCAAACATAGTGTTTGAAGTTTGTGTATTAGGTATTATTGTGTATACTTTAAAAATCTACTTTACATTTTTATTATTAGCATTTCTTTTTATGTAAATTAGGTAGTCACTTTATTTTTACAATAATACATATTATTTTTTAATAAGCTGGCAGCTGTAAATGTTACTTCTTAGACTTTCTTACTTTTTAAACTACTTTTGTGTAGTATTTTATTTAGTTTAGATCTTTTATTGTAATCTCATTTATACTTTTTGACATTTATATTTTATGAACTACCTACCTGGATAATATTATTATTTTGTGTGTACAATTTAGTACATATTCTAACTCCGTCCAATTTCTTTATCACATCTTTAGTGAAAATAAATAAACGTCTTGAAACTAAATTACCTACTTTTATTTGTACATATCTATTCTATTATTTTTAAATAGGTATTTGCTACAGTGTGAGATTTAATTTCAACAATGATTTTAAATAACTTTTAGGACATAAAAGGAAAATGTAAAAAAAATGTAGTAGGTACTTACTTAAAAATTAAATATTTATTGCAAAACTTAATGTAATACAGTATCTGATACACAAATCATTTGGTCCAAGAAACCTTGGGTATATCGAAATGTTCTGTAAGACTATCCAGATGTTGATTGAACTTTTCCACTCTTTGTTTATGAGTCATTTCGGCTTTTTGCTGGATTCTCTGCTTTTGCTGAAATTAAAAGATACACAATAAGATTCGCTGTTGTAGTATAATAAACAGTAAGGGTCACTTTGATGAAAATACTTTTATATACAAATTAAAACAAAATCAATAATAAAAACATTGTTTGGTTTCCATCCTCTACAAACAGTTGACAGAGAAGATGAATAAATCGATGATGATTATGTCCGAAGTAGATTTTCAGTTTTCTGTAGTGCCAATAATAACCAGGATACATATTTTTAGTTTTAACTAGGCTAGGCTAATGAGCAATATTCTAAAATATGTACGATTACTAAAGAATATTGATTTATTGTCCTACTACATACCATTTTCTCTTGCATTTTCTGGAAAGCCATTTCGGCCTTAGTCTTGTGGTTTGTAACTTCTTGCTGCTGCTGCTTTATCTGTTGTTTAACGTCAGCCTCGATCATTTTTTCTGTTTCTTTACTGGACTTCTTCTTCTTTTTCTTCTTGATTCCTGAATTATCCTTGAGCTTCAGTTGGGCTCTATTTACACACGCATATTCGTCCTCTTCCACCATTTTTTGTAGTTTGATTGATGATATTCAGTTGATTTACCAGGAGAGATCTTGATAGTGGTAAGTTTGTGAAAGATTTATTTATTATTTCGCCACAATTCCACAAAAAATCACACGAAACGCAAGCAAATCAAAACATGAATGAATGATTGATTGAAATGAATGAATGGATGTGGATGACGTAATTACGTCTGTCATTTTACTTTTTTCGATTTAGACTTTCCTTATCGACATGGACTAAGACTTATTAAGCCAGGTTGTATTTTAAAATTCTCGATTATGCTATTGATTCTTTAATTACATTAATTTATTTAAAAAACACCAAGGAAAATGTAAAACTTAAGAAAAATGTACCAAGACAACTTCCTATTTAATACGATATTTTATTGAATACTAGCGGGCCGGCCGCGATTTTGTACACGTGGACCCCCGTTTTTAACCCCTCAGGGGTTCAATTTCGCTCGGAAAATTTCGAATTTTTCTCGTCGTTAAAACTATCCTTGGACTCCAACGAACGTTAAAAAAAAAAGAATTGGTAAAATTGATCTATTTTGCGATTCATTTTTATAGTTTAAAATGGAAAAAAGCAGGTTTATGGCCCTAAAAGTCAACCGTCTCGGAATATCTCTTAGATTATTTTGTTTGGTGCAGTTGATGATTTGGGCACAGATGGACAGATGCTCGGTAATACTTGAACGAATCAGGAGATAGGTCATGTCGCAGAAAACCGCAGAACAAGACCACGACAAAACAAAAGAGCAACTAGACGATTTTGAACCTGCAACGATTAGATTTAAGGCTCGCCATACACGGACAGCTTGAACCAGAGACTACATAGCAAACTACAGCATTATCTTACCTACACATACACGAAACCGCTCGAGCAGTGACGACTGCTTCAGGTGGTTAGTAACACGCAAATATTATTATAATCATGCTGTAAAGCAGTCGCCATGCATACTGACTAGAGTCTCTAGCTGTCTAGTCTGTAGCTGTTGACTATGACTGCAAGAGCCGTCCATGTATGTTGACAGCTCGAGCTGTCTGTGTATGGCGGGTGTCTCAAAAGGGTGAAGATCATACTGTAGCTAATTGATCACAAGGCTAGTAGAAGTGTTATCTGTCTGTACCGTGGAAATCTGACAAAGTAAAAGGATAGGATATCGTATTCTATTAATACGCAGGTAGAACGATAAGTACCATAAAATATATGGAATGGATATTACAATATGCTTGTTGTAGGTACACATTAATCAGAGTAATAAATTAACTTCATGAATGAACAGAGAGTATTGAGTAGCGTCCTGCGTTCCCACATCATTGCCCAATACAATCAACAATAGAAAACAATAGTTATACTGTTCCTTGTATGTGTCGGCGGCTGAGCCCGCCAGTTTTATTTTAGTCGCAAATACACCTTTAAAGAAATCACATGTTTTACTGTTCCAACCTTCTGACGTACGTTTTGTGGACTTAACAGTAATATACCTGAACATAACGTATATCAATATAATTACGTACATCGGGTATATAAAATTATCGTACATTGGTGACCCCGACGTGATCATTACGTATACAGTGTATCAATACGCCCGACGTGATCATTACGTATACAGTGTATAAATACGTACATTGGTGACGCCAGTTGAACATTTTTTTTTTACGTTTTGGACAGTGCATTGTGGATATGAATCCTCAAGACGGACCCGCACCTATTTACGCCGCGCCTAATACGCCGGCGCCTTCTTTAGCGGCACCGCCCGCACAGGCGTCGACGGAGACGGAAACTTTGGCGAGTATAAGTGTTTCGTCGAGGATACCAGATATCTGGTCAGACCAACCGCGACTCAGGTTTGTCCAGGAAGCAACCAGGCCAGAATATACAGAAATAGCCGAAATGAAAACCTCCACGCCGAGAAGCATTCACGAATTATCGGAAATGATTAACCGACTGCAAGTGGAAATCGCTGAGTTACGCCGGTCCAGAACACCTCTACGGCAGGAAGGTTCAACCGTACGAGGGAGAATAGGCCGATCGGGTCAGCGCGACGTGAGTAAGTCCCGAAAAAAACCAAATTGGTTATGTTTTTATCATCACCGTTACCGTGCTAAGGCTGTGAAGTGCGTCGAGCCTTGCAATTGGAAGGGNATTTTTGTTATTTTGTTTCTGAGATGTTAATTGATGTTTAGTAATTTGTAATTGACATTTTTATATTATATAATGATAGGCACATACATCTTTCTTATGTTTTTACTGTTTACTTTAACTTGCGCATTGCTTGTAATTTGATAATGGACCAAGTGCACAATTTGATTGAGCGTATTATGTCTCTAGATATTTTTAATTGACATAGAATTTTGTTTTATAATTTTGTTTCAAATATTCATTATTTTGTTATTTACTCAATCAAGTGTTATTGTGTTTTATTTTTTGTATAAGGAGGGGGATGATGTAGGTACACATTAATCAGAGTAATAAATTAACTTCATGAATGAACAGAGAGTATTGAGTAGCGTCCTGCGTTCCCACATCATTGCCCAATACAATCAACAATAGAAAACAATAGTTATACTGTTCCTTGTATGTGTCGGCGGCTGAGCCCGCCAGTTTTATTTTAGTCGCAAATACACCTTTAAAGAAATCACATGTTTTACTGTTCCAACCTTCTGACGTACGTTTTGTGGACTTAACAGTAATATACCTGAACATAACGTATATCAATATAATTACGTACATCGGGTATATAAAATTATCTACTACTTTAATTATGTAGGCAGGTACGCATACAAATAAAATGAAAAGTAATTATACATATTTTTTTGTGGCGTAAAAGCTTAGTTATATTTATTTCCCGTAATGTTAAGTGAGCTAAATGCACATTAACTTGCGAGGGCGGCAGGTTGCCTAGCAAAATATCATAAATAAATAAGTGATTGTTCGTAACAAAAGAGCGGGAATGAATGGCGTTTCTTGGCGTTATCGGAAGCGCGCACGCGCCAAGCCCGCCGACGCGTACGGCCCCGAGATTAGTTCGATTTCGCGCCACGTGGCGCCACGTGCGCCACTACTACCCTCCAAATAAGATTAACGGATTTGCACACTACAGATTGCACACGAATGAGCAGGAAGTGTAAAGTGAAACGGTAATGAGATAGCTTTGTGGGTTGACATCGGTAATGAGATGCCGCGAAAATCTTTTTTTTGGGCGCTACATTTTTAGACAGAGCTCTAACGTTAATGCACAAACTGGCGCAGCAAAGCGGGTTGGCAAATGAAAAAATTAAGATCCTGTTGTAAATCTTTTCAAATCACCAAAATTTTAAGAAAATAAAAATGGGCTAAAGAATGGTAGTTCAAATGCCTGCCATGACCCTGCTGCACCACACAAGTGCAAGGCGAAGGCCGCATCGACTCGCGTGATCGGCTGTGGATAAAGCTTATTTTTATCAGTTTGACACGTGCCTTTAAACCGCACATCTGTGTGCTGCTGTTTGGAGATTTAGCTTAATTCTGATAGCTAACCTACATAATTAGTTATTATATACATTTTTACGTATAGGAAATGAACAAGTACCTATTACCTAACTTTTGAATAGGATTTTAAATACTTTATCTGGGAGTTGAACTTAGTCTCCCTAACCGGAGAGTCTATTAGAATATGCATCTTAAATTCTTCTAAAGTAGATACTACGAGTGCTTTTACAATGATACCGATGATTCATAGTCGTAATCATGACAAGGAGTAAAACATGATCTATGTATGTACGAAATGAGCATTGGCTCTTTATCAGCAACCATAACTCCACTAAAATTACTAAAAAACATTGATTACAGATTAATTACAGATTGATATTGTGCTGTGTACTATCCTTAAATAAATAAATAACTTTAAAAAAATTAATACTTAGTCCGGAACAAAAGTGAAGCTAGATGCAGTGCAATCTACTTCTTTAAATTCAATTAGGTAGTAACTTAAGTATAAAATTAAGTAGGTAGTTACTTACTTACCTACAATTTATTGCCCCATGGTTTATGTAATTTCCAGGTTATGTGCGCAATATGAGTGTTTCCGGCAATTAGGGCATTGTTCTACCGTAACGAATCAATTTAGACGTGTTAATTTTGAATACATTTTTATCATAATTTATCTTTGCGCTCTGATTATGGATTTCAAAATTATGGATATTCTGGATGGTATAGTTCCCCGGTGATATAGCACGGCGGGAATAAGTAGGTACTTAGACCGTTGTTTTTTCGAATGCTGCAAGAAGATGAGGTGTTGGAATTGCTGTATACTCAGACAATTTCTACAAATGGGATGACCACAAAGTTAGGGTTATGGTTAAATGCATGCTGTTATGCAGTCTCGCTTGGTACGAGACAGGAGGACGATGAAAGGCCTCAAGTACCATAACGTTAAAAAGTACCTTAACAATGCAGACAGCATATTGACGTTGCAAAATAAATATTATGGTAAAAATAGTAAACGGTAACGGTTATGGTAAAAACCATTTTTTACATCAGACGTCGAAGTCCAATCGATCGGTCTCGACCTTCTGCTTAGCAACTTGGATTGAGCATAACTTTTGAATAGGTATCGTTTACGACTTGCCTCAAACCTCACAAGTCGCTCTCATTTCCCAGGACTCGCCTTAAATCCACACTTGACTTGTTTACAAATTAATTTTGTTGCACAATAGTCATCTCATGTCGCATTANTTTAAGGCTCGCCATACACGGACAGCTGGAAGCAGAGACTATTACAGCATTATCTAACATACATACACGAAACCGATCGAGCAGTGATGACTGCTTCAGGTGGTTAGTAACACGCAAATTTAATCATGCTGTAAAGCAGTCGCCATGCATACTGACTAGAGTCTCTAGCTGTCGACTGCTCTCGCGCGTTTACTTGAGCTGTTGCTATGACTGCAAGAGCCGTCCATGTATGTTGACAGCTCGAGCTGTCTGTGTATGGCGGGTGTTAGTGTAAGGCTGAGTTGCACCACCTAACTTTGACCGTAACTATGACGATAACCGGTGTTTTTTGTATGGATTTTGACAGATTTTTGACGTTTGTCCCAGTTAAAGTAAGATGGTGTAACCCACCCTAAGTATGCGAAGCTCAAAAGAGTGAAGATCATACTGTGTA